AAACTCAACAATAAAAATTGGGGCACCTGGGTGGCTCAGTCGGTTAAGCATCTGACTTCAGCTCACGTCATGATCTCACAGTTCGTGAGTTCGAGCCCCGCTTCGGGCTCTCTAGTTGACAGCTCGGAGCCTGGAGCCTGCTTTGGATTCTGTGTCTCCTGCTCTCTCTACCCCTCCCCAGCTTGTGTTCTGTCTGTCTCTCTCTCTCTCTCTCTTTCTCTCTCTCTCTCTCTCAAAAATAAATAAACATTAAAAAAAATTAAAAGAAAAAGTCAACAATAAAAAGACAACCAACCTGCTTAAAAAAATCACCAAAGACCTTAACCAACACCTCACCACAAAGAAGACCGCAAATAAACGTGTGAAGAGACGTTCCCCGTTGTGTGTCACCAGGAAATGCAAATTAAAACAACACTGAAATATGAGTACACACTTACAAGAATGGCCAAAATCCAGAACACTGATAACACCAAGTTCCAGTGAGGAGATAGGGAACAATGGGAGCTCTCATTCATTGCTGGTGGGAATTCAGAAGGGTACAGCCACTTTTGAAGATGGTGTGGCAGTTTCTCATAAAAGTAAACATACTCTTAGCACAAAATACAGCAATGACGCTCCTTGGTTTTTGCCCAAAGGAGATGAAGACTTAGTCCAGACAAAATCTGCACGTGGATGTTTAGAGCAGCTTTATTTATAACTGCCAAAACTTGGAAGCAACCAGGATGCCCCTTAGTTGGTGAATGGATAAACCGTGGTCCCCTCAGACAATGGGGTATTACTGAGCACTAAAAATGAAATGAGCTATCAAGCTATGAAAAGACATGGAGGAACCTTAACTGCATGTTACTAAGAGAAAGAAGCCAGTCTGAAAAGGCTACATACCAAAGGATTCCAACTACAGGACACTCTGGAAAAGGCAAAACTGTGGAGTCAGTAAAAAGACCAGTGGTTGCCAGGGGCTGCAGGAGGTGGGCAGGGATGCACGGGTGGAGCACAGAGGATTTTTAAGTCAGTGAAACTCATCTGTACGATACCACAGTGATAGATGTATGTCATGATACATCTGTCCGAAGCCACAGAATAGACAACACCACAACCCCACAAGTGAACAATAATGTAGACTATGGACTTTGGGCGATTAGGATGTATCAGTGAAGGTTCATCACTTGTAACAAATGTACCACGCTGGTAGGGGATGCTGATAACAGGGGAGGCTACATTTAGGGGTGGGGGTATATGGGAAATTGCCATATTTTCTGCTCAACTTTGCTGTGAACCTAATAAAACTTGCTTTAAAAGAAAATAAGGTCTTAATTGGAAAAAAAAAAAAAGAGTGAAAAGGTTTCTAATACCTAGAAACTCTCAGTCAAATGGAAGAGAAAACTACATAGGAGGACAGGCCTAAAGGAATGCCAGTTTGGATAATGAGTCAGATTACGTTGGGCTGACTTTCCCATCAAAAATTACTAAAATATTGGGTAAAATATTTAAAACTTCTCTTCGAAGGCATTAATGAACTAATGAGAGGGTAAGGAATCTTCAGACCAGGGACCAAGTCCTTACGGCTACTAGGACAAAATATGGAATACTGGGGTGATGGAGTTGGCAGGGACAGGGGTTTTGCCTCACCAGGTGAACTGAACTTGGTTTTCTGAGCCTCAGGGGCCAGGTGTGAACTTAGCCCTGCTGAAGTTGAAGAGTCTGGGGGAAGAGCCAAAGACTGCCTTTCTGGTGTAGGAGAACTAAAGGTGAACTGGACATAACACAGATCCCAGCACTCCTGCACCAAAAAAGTCCTCCCTGAGGCCCTTGAACCACTGTTGTGATCAGAAGGAGGGAAAAACAACTCCTTGGAAGTGGACCCAAAGGAGCCAGAGCTCAAGGGAATCTTCCTGGAATTCACAAAACCTTAAGCTGAGGATTTAATTTAGAGTGATCTTAATGGAGGCAAATGCCCATTCTCTCTGGAGGAACCTGCCTTCAATATAGACTTCAAAGAGTTCCCACAAATAAGATTCCTAGGAAAATGAGCACCTCACAGTAAAAAATAACTAAGCACAAAAAGAAACTCCATAGCATGAACAGCATTCATCAAAAACAATGGACAGCAGAAACATATCTCAAAGGTCTCTAGATAATGGAAGTATAAGAAGTGATACATGAAATCACTCTTTAATTTGTTTAAATAAGTCAGAGTCTGCTTCAAAATACATGCAGGGTACAAGAAATCATAAAAAATGACAAGCAGACTTGGAGGGAAAAAAAGAACTCCAAGAAATGAAAGCTAGACTAAAATTATAATTATATAATGAAAAGGTTTAACAGATGAGACCCAGCTGAAAAGGGGACAAATAAAATGAAGGCTAGATCTACTGAAGTTATCCAGAATACAGTAAAGAGATAAGCAGGTAGAAAACAATGAAACACAAGTCTAAAGACATTGGTGGTGGTGGTAGTGGTGGGTGCCTGGCTGGCTCTGTTGATAGAGCACGTGACTCTTGATCTTGGGGTCATGAGTTTAAGCCCCACATAGGGAGTAGAGCTTACTCAAAAAAAAAAAAAAAGATACTGGGGGGATAGAATGAGAAAGACAGATATAACCAAAGTCTCAGAGGAAAAGACAGAACAGAGCAAAGACAATAGTTGAAGAGACAAAGAGAATTTTTCATAACTGATAAAAGATACTAACCTAGAGATTTAAGAAGTCTAAGGAATCCACAATAAATTTGCACCTATACATGGTAAGATCTTAAAAATGGCCAGAGGAAATGCAGATTTGCTTCAAAGAAGGGACAATGAGTCTGACAGCCAACTTCCTGAAAATGATGGAAGCCAGAAGTCAGTGGAAGGGTATCTTGAATAATATTGTCCATGTGCTGAGGAAAACTGTCACCCCAGAATCCTAAACCCAGACAAAGTATATTCCATGTAGGAGGGTGAAATAAAGACATTCCCAAACAAGTGAAATCGGTTATCTGCCACCATGAGATTCTCACTAAAGGAAGTTCTAAAGAAAATAATTCAGGCAGAAAGAAAAGTAATCCTGGATGTTATATTTAAAGATTTAAAGTTAGATTTAACTGAGATCTAAAGAAACAAAGAGTTCTGAATAAAACAATTAAAACAAAAGATCTTATAGAGTCTAAAAAGAAAAACAAAACCAAAATTAAAATACACAACAACAATAACCTACAGGCTTATAGGGAGGGCATGGAGGGAAAATATTCTAAGGTTTTTGTGTTAATAGGAAACAGATAAAGACAGGAATTTTAGCTCTTGATAAGCTAAATGTGTATTTTGTAATTATTGGAAAACATACCAAAAAAAATAAAAAATAAAAGGAGAGTTTAAAAAAAATCTCCTAACTAGTAATGAGGGAAAAATGGAATGAGGAAAAAAAATACCCAATCAATCCAAAGAAGAAATGAAGAGAAAGAGAAACGTAAGGGGAAAATAGCACAAACTAAGATGGAAGATAGAAATCTAAAAATATCATGCATTACAATAAATGTAAATGGAGTAAATGTACAGTTAAAAGACAAAGACTGCTATCTTGAAGAAAAGCAACAACATAAATCCAATTAAATGCTATTTATAAGGGACTTTTCTAAGACATAGAATATAGAAAAGTCAAAAGTTTTAAAAGGAAGGAAAAAGACTCACCAGGCAAATTCTAACAAAAAAGACCTAAGCTTCCTGTGTTTAGAGATATAATAACAGAAAGCTCTCCAATATGCACTTGGGAGATCTGGGGACAACTCTCAGCTTTTTTTTTTTTTTAAGTTTATTTATTTATTTTGAGAGAGAGAGAGAGAGAGAGAGAGAGTGAGAGAGCACGCACACGTGCACAAGTAGGAGAGGGGCAGAGAGAAAGGGAGAGGGAGAATCCCAAGCAGGCTCTGCATTGTCAGTGCAGAGCCTGGTGAAGGGCTTGAACTCACAAACTGAGATCATGACCTGATCTGAAATCAAGAGTCAACTGAGTCACCTAGGTGCCCCCTCA